GTTTAGGGTTAGGTTAAGGGTTAGGGTTAGGTTAAGGGTTAGGTTAAGGGTTAAGGGTCAGGTTAAGGGTTAGGGTTAGGTTTAGGGTTAGGTTAAGGGTTAGGTTTAGGGTTAAGTTTAGGTTTATAGTTTACAGCGTGCTTCTGTCTCCGTGCTGTTGTCGCCCTGTTGATGACGTCAGCAACGCGGTTTAGTCGGGCGCGGTTTTGTCGTTCGCCCTTCTGTCGGTGAACCAGGAACGCGATGGAGCTGGAAAGTTAAGAGGCGCGCCTCGCTTCTCCCCCCCACCAACTGCCACCCCTCGCTAAAGGGACGGCGGGGAAGGGAACCAGGCAGGCTGCCTTTACCATTGGGGCGAGCTGGGCGGTGTTGGGCTGCGTTCCTCGCCATTGTGTTCAGGGAAGCCCCTGGTTAAAAAAAAACCCTTCTCGCGATTTCAAGTTTGATTGGACTCGTTAGAAGGGGTTTTTTTTTACCAGCCGCTTCCCTGAGCGCAATGGCGAGGAATGCAACGGAGCTGTAAAGGTAAAAGGCGCGCCTCGCTTCTCACCTGCCCCAAAAAATAATAAGCCCTCCCCTATAATAAGCCCAAGGCCATGTTTCATGGGGCAAAAGAAAATAAGACCCTGTCTTATTTTCGGGGAAACACGGTAGGTATGCCAAGTCTATCCAAAAAAATAATAATGAGGGATGACATGATAGAAAGTGTGCCAACATTTGATGGGCTGCCACCAAGAAGAGGGGGGAGAGGTTTGACCTGTTCTCCAAAATACCCGAAAGCAGGACAAGCAATGGATGGAAACTAATGGAGAGAAGCAACCTGGAATTGAGGGGAAACTTCCTAATAGTTAGAATAATTAATCAGTGGAATAAGTTGCTTCCTGGAATTGTGGGTGTTCCAACACTGGAGTGTTAGGAATATAATTCTAACGGTTGGGTTGGCAATATATAAATCATGTAACAATGCTGTACCTGTTTCTTTAAATCATACTGTAAAATGTGATTGGTTGCTGTTTCCTCAACCGGCCATAAGAGGGAGCCAGAATGACTGTTAGCTCTCTCTGTTTTGTTAGATGCTGGGCTGATCTGATCTGAGTGTTTTGGAAGCTGGCTGTTAGAAAGTGCCGTGAGCTATTGTAAGTTTTGTAACTGCTAGCAAACTTTGAGTACCAGACTGTTTGTATGGGTTCCACCACAAAACCGCGGAGTACAAAATTGCGCTCGACGAAAGCGCGCATTTGACGTCATCACAGCGCGACGAAAACATCGCGCTGTGATCGAAAAATGTAAAAATAAAGCGAAAACCTTACCCTAACCCCCCCAAACCTAACCCTAAACCTAACCCTAAACCTAACCCTTAACCTAACCCTAAACCTAACCCTAAACCTAACCCTAACCCTAACCCTTAACCTAACCCTAAACCTAACCCTAAACCTAACCCTTAACCTAACCCTAAACCTAACGCTAAACCTAACGCTAACCCTTAACCTAACGCTAAACGTAACCCAACGCTCTAAACCTAACCCTAACCCTTAACCTAACCCTAACCCTAACCCTTACCTTTATGTGAATCGGCATGGTTTAATTTTAATTTTATTTCAATTTTTAATTTTTTTCGTCGCGCTGTGATGACGTCACATGCGCGCTTTTGTCGAGTGCGATTTTGTCCTCCGCGGTTTTGACGGGTCATGGTTTGTATGATTATGGACTATGTTATTTGGATTATCCCTTAACTGAAAGACATTGATGACTGAATGTCTTATCCGTGTATGACTTGGACTGTTTGATGGACTCTGATACCTCTATTTCCACGAAAGTAAAAGCCTATTTAAACTGCAGTGTCTCTGTATGCTGGTTTGTGTGTTCTCCAACACAACTCTCACAACGCTTCGCTGAACGTAGTCGCTCTCCCAATGGGGAACTTACGTAACAGTCTCCATCTCAACTACACAGATGCTTACTACCTTTGAAGAAGAGACTAGACAGTCACTTGTCTGAAAGGGTGTAGAATCTCCTGCTTGAGCAGGGGGTTGGACTAGAAGACCTCCAAGGTCCCTTCCAATTCTTTTATTCTATATTCTATATGTCAGCCTGCATACAGACTGCATGTGGACACATAGAAGTCCCTTCCAGTTCTGTTAGGACTACCTATAACTTTCTTCTCCTCCCATCCATCATCCCCCACTGACCTGTTCTGGGATACCGGTATGTGTCTGTTTTCCGTTCTTCCAGGGCCGGCGAAGGGACGTGAATCACCTCCACCTCGGATTCATCGACTTCCTCATACAGAATTCGGAATGTCTTCCAGCCTTCGGGTCCTAAATGGAAAGCAGGCAAGTCGGAGGATTGGGGGGGAAGGTTATTAGATGAGGGAAGAAATAAAGTTTATTTTTATTTTCTCTGGGTACATAATTACATATATTAAAATGAAAATCTGATGCCCGCTCTCAAAATATATAGATATACACACGGCTGTTGTGGCCCGGCAGGAGCCATTGGAGCTGCCACCACACTCCAACAGCAAGGGGCCCTATGAGTCGGCCCTGGAGGATGTGGAGGACCCTGGACAGGGTTCCAACTCCGAGCAGGGCGCAGAGAGACTGGTTGGCCACCAGGTGGCGCCTGAGGCTTGGATCAGTGGGGAGGAGACAAGAGAGAGTGATCCAGAAACCACCTGTGAGTTGTTCCGGGATGCACGCCGTCGAAGGGCTACTCAGCGTCAAGAACAACTACGTAATTACAGGAGGTAATTACACTCAGCTGATGGTCATTAAGCTCCTCTCCCAGACTATAAAAGAGACTGCTTGTGCCACATCCTTCTTGCAGAAGTCAACGGTTGACTAAAGAGAAACTAATTTGGCAGGCTGGATTGTTGCCAGAGTTTGTTTGCACTGCTGCCAAGGTTTGTCAGACTTGCTGCCAAAGTCCTTATCTGTTTGTTTATTTGGCTTTCAGCCACCGAGAGTCTGGTCTTGTTATTAAAAAGACATTCCATTTTACGCTTGTCTCGGCTTTCGTTACTGGACGGAGGAGGGGGTCAGAACACACGGCCATATACATATTCTGTATATATACATTTATATAAATGTGTGTCTCACAGATACACAAGATGTATATACATCTTGTACACACACACATATCAATACACATACACAGACAGACAGTATATCACAGAACACACATTTTGTACATATTTAAGTATATCTTTTCATGCAACCACACTGAAGAAATGACACTTGGCTACAATGTAAAGTAGTGATTATACAGCTTGTATAACAGTGTAAATGTGCTGTCCCCTCAAAATAACGCAACACCACAGCCATTAATGTCCAAACTGCTGGCAACAAAGGTGAATACACCCCAAAGTGATACTGTCCAAATGGGGCCCAGGTAGCCTTTTTCCTTCCATGGTGTCATGTTACTCGTTAGGTGTCACAAGGTCTCAGGGGGGAAAGGGGAGCAGGTGTGTTAAATTTGGTGTTATCGCTCTCCTTCTGGAAGTTCAACATGGCACTGAATTCTCTGAGGATCTGAAAAAAGGAATTGTCGCTCTCCATAAAGATGGCCTAGGCCAGTGATGGCAAATCTTTTTCTTACGGCGTGCCAGAATTGTACCCGCAGCCCTATCGCACACACGTGACCCCACTCAGTCTCCCCCCCACATGTGCATGCGACCCCCCCTCTCCCCCCCCAGCAATGTGTGCATGACCCCTCCCCAGGCTCCGGAGGCTTTGCTGAAGCCTGGGGAGGGCGAAAATGGCCTCTCCCGAAGCCAGAAACGCATCATGTCCGAACTTCTGTTGGGGCCGTTTTTTGCCCTCCCCAGCCTCTGGAGGATTCGCTGAAGCTCGGGGAGGGCAAAAAAAAAGTGGTTTTCCCTGGCTCTCCGGAAGGGCAAAAAATCAGCTGGCCAGCTGACATGCCGGTAAATATGGCTCCAGGTGCCACCTATAGCACATGTATCATAGGTTCCCCATCATGAGTCTAGCCTACAAGAAGATTGCCAAGACCTTGAAACTGAGCTGCCGCACGGTGGCCAAGACCATACATTGACTGAACAGGACAGGTTCCCCTTAGAAGAGGCCTCGCCACGGTTGACCAAAAAAGTTGTGTGCCCGTGCTCAGCGTCATATCCAGAGGTTGGCTTTGGGAAATAAGACGCATTGTTATGCCTGCAAGCCATCTTTTCTTTTGGACTTCAAGCCTGCTACACTTTCTACTGTCTAATTTCTATTGTGGGAAAATGAGGGGATTATATGGAGTTCGGTGATATGTAGCCATAACAACATTCTTTTTTGAAACTCAAGGTCATCTTTGTCTCTGCACTTGGCCGGAACTGGATGGGTGGACTCTGTTTTTGTGGCGATGGGAGAATGGACCGTGTGATGGACTTGTGGGTGTGGGGGGCAGGATCTTGAACTTTCAACTGGGTGGGGAAAACCGGGAAGCTTTCAGATTCGGGATTTCCCAGATGTGCCAACATGTCTCTCTTAATAAACTGGAACTTTGAGGAATCCTTTGCCTCGGACTCTGATTTAATTTCAGATGCTATTTGGAATCTTGACATGCATGAGTACTGCCAACATTGTTGCAGAGGTTGAAGGGGTGGGGGTGGGGGGGATAAAGCCTCATTGCAACCTTGAACTGTCACTAAACAAACTGTTCTAAGTTGAGGAATACTGCACAGCCCTACCAGATAGTTTTGAGAGTGTTGTGGAGATCATTCAGACCTTAATTCCGTGCCAAGAAGGCCTGGCCCACATACCTTCTTGGGAAGACGCTGGACACCACCAATACCCCGTAAAGCGGTCAAATTCTTCCTGGATGACGAAAGTGGCCACACCGGCTGACTTGGGATCATCTAGCACGCTGGATAAACCTGGGGGGGTAAAAATTGCAAGGCTCCTTATGTCAAGTGTCTTCAAACCCTCGACTAAGTTAAACTACCCAAAAATATACCGTATTTAGCAATAGCAGTTAGACTTATATACCGCTTCATAGGGCTTTCAGCCCTCTCTAAGCGGTTTACGGAGTCAGCATATTGCCCCCAACAACAATCC